TACTGTAACAAACAGTAACTTCTGTTTGTCGGATTGACACCGTTAATGTCGATGTAGTAAGACCAACTCATTTTAAAAGTTTGAGTATATAAAGAACAATTTTACATAGTTGGTGTATTTATCGGGTAGTCAAAAAAATTTGGGTATTTTTTCAGCAAATGAAATTAAATTTGAGTATTTTTCAGGAATTTTCCCTTAGAGTTTATCTTAAACGTATTTATAGAAACTTATCTCTAAATTAGAGAAATACACGGCCAAATAAAATAGAGAAATTAGTAGTTAGTCAAATCATATGTATTATTCTTACAAATATAAAACTTTGAACAATTTTTTTATATATTTGGAAGTCTCTATTTAAGTACAAAATTTTAAGATATAGTTTGACTACACAATGTATAGGAATATATTCAAAAGATATTAAATATATAGTCAATGGTATTCCCGCAAAATAAACGGTAATTCAAAAACACAAAATACCGTTACTAAATTCCCGCAAAATATACTATCTAACGGTATTCGCGCGTAATAAACGGTAATTCAAAAAAATATAGATAGTAATAAAATGATTTAGTGAATCTACTAAACACAAACACATCAAAAGGAAATACCTTGTTATTGGTCGAAGTTGTAAGACTCACTAGATTGTATCACTCTTTTTAGTCTTTACACACAAAATTCATTATAAAAACCATACATAGTGTCACTACTCACTACTCTTTAAACTACCATCAAAAATATCTTTATCATTTCTCTTCTAGAAGACCAAAACACATCTCTCTTTCACAAAATATATTTATCATTTCTCTTCTATAAGACTAAAACACATCTCTCTCTCTCTTTCTTCCCGGAGCTTTTKACCATTATCACAAAACTCCGGTTCGTTTATCTCATGATGTCCAATCAAGCACCATCCAATCATCTTCCGATCATAACATGCCATAATCTTCTCAAAAGGCGTGACTTTAAAGAAGTTCGGTCTTTCGTTGAGATGAATAGATTAGTAGGCAATGAATGGAATGAACTTGACCAAGCCGAAGCCATCTCCGACGTTATCATCGCGGCGGAGAACCGGCTTCCGAACGGGTTGACTGATTATTACGGTATGATTCGAGCGACCCGACTTGGACCGGTGGTATTGGATGATTTCTTGAGGTTGATGAGGCTTTTAGACGGTAGGTCTAATCATTTCCCTTGTAGTAACGAAGCTGCTTGCTATGCCATGGAAGCTTGGACATTTCTTTCGAAGCCAGCCATGAAGACCAAATACGATATGGCTATCTCTACTGCCGACATGATTTCCGGCCAGAATCGTCAAACTCATGTGGTCAACAACAGATGGGGAGGAATAGGCGTCCAAGGCGGTGGAACCAACAGGGGCAACAACAGTGGTAGCATCGGATTTGGTGGCAATGAAAGATTCAATAGAAATGGTGAATTTTTCAGCGGTGGCAGAGGCATAGCCGGTTTTGGCAGAGGCGGTAGCGGTAAAAAAAACATTGGTGGTGGAGAACGCGGTGTAGACGACAGATTTGGTGCTATTGGTTTAATGTTTGGTGGTGGTAGAGGTGTAGCCGGCGGTAGCAGTCGCCAAGGCATTGGTGGTGGAGAAGACGGTGTAAATGGCAAAATCAGCAATGGAAACGGCGGATTTGGCTGCACTAGTGGATTTTTTGGTGGTGTCGGTGATAGAAGTGGCAAAGGCATCAGTGGTGTATACCACAAAACCAGCAGTGATGACTATGGCCTTGATGCAATATTTGGTGGTGGTATAAGTGTAGCTGGTGGTAGAGGTCGTAAAGACATTAGTGGTGGAGAAGGCGGTGTAGATGGTGGAATCAGCAGTGGTAACAACATTAGCAGCGGCCGATTCGACAACATTGATGGATCATTTGGTGGTGGCATAGACATAGCCGGTGGTAGCGGTTCCAAAGGCATTGGTGGTGGAGAAAGCGGCGTATCTAGTGGAACACATGGTGGTAATGGCGATTGTGACGTTAGGTTCGACAACAACAACGAATTCGGTTGCGAAGGCGGTAGTGGCGGTGACATAGGCTACTACTTTAACGAAAAAGGTACCGAAGACGGGGGTGGATTTGGTGGAGTGGACAAAGAAAAGCAGAAGGTGGAAACAGTTTGGAGTATTTGTTCGAACTGTTACATTATGCATGGAAATGAGATATGTATGAGATGTAACAAAGTTCCGATAGAGTTTGAGTCAACGACGAATATGATTCCATCAGGGTTTCCGGTGGAATCGGAGAAAGGAGAGGATCAGTTTAGTCACCTCGCTGGAATGCTTCAATTAGGGCTTCCTGAAAACAGTTCCTTTATCCCCAAGGAACAGAATCTTGGTCAGTCGTGGCTTCCTGAAAACAGTTCCTTTATCCCCAAGGAACAAAATCTTGGTCGTGGAATTGAAGATGTAGTGGTGGTTATTTCT